TGGGAGAATCTGGATGTCTTTGTGGGGAGATGGCTGACCTTCACGCCCTTCCTTTCTCCCTTGTCCATCCATCCCTGCATGCACCGCGCTGCCCCTGGGTGGACTGCAGCATCCTTCCCCACCAAGAGGAAGATGTTGCACCCTGCAGGTGGTGGCAGCGAGCCCGGAGTTGGCATCGCTGAGATGGGGGCCCGTCCAGTCCCCCATGAGAGGGGGATGCAAGCTGGCCTCTGATGGAAGCTTCTGTTACTCACTGTTTTCTGCTACAGCCAAACCCGATACTAATACAACACAAACCTCCTTTAACTATGAAGATCAAAAGGGACATCTAACGCCAAGTGCATAGCACAGCGTCGGACAGGCGGTACGCATGGAAGAAAAGGTGCAAGGATGTATTCTTATGACATAGCTCATCAACAGATGAACAATGGTCATGTTAAAATGACAGAGGCCAACAATAAGGATTTGCAAGAGTAAATTATATAACCAGCCAGCACACATTTCTGTATAGAGAGTACAAAGGTGAGGGAGACACAGTCATTATGATGACGTGCCTCGGTCAGAACTGAAGTGGCCATGTAGAAAACACCAGGTCCACCGGAAGATGGAGGCAGAGACTCAAGGAGACAAACTGGCAGAAAGCAGATAGTCCTCCTGCTGACGTCACAGAAAAGAGATGTGCAAAACATTGCAGAAAACCAGAAAAATGGCACAAACAATTCTGTAAGGGAAAAAGAGGCAGGAGAAGTGGTACGTGGTAGATTAAAATAAGCAAATAAGCTGGTGCTAAGACTGAACCAAGGGTTTTAGCCTTCAGAAACACTGCGTTTTGGGGTATTCAGGAAAGAAAATCCAACACTCATTTATTTTGTCTCTGTGAAGAAGTCCGTAAGCATCATGACACATTAACAAAACTCAAGAGCCGGCACTTTTTCATCCATGACATTAATGTAATCTGAGGTCAGACGTGTGAAAACTTTAGTAGAAAAGTAGGTGTCTATTAAAAAAAAAAACTGTCTAAATCTGTATGAAAGGTACTATGAGGTGCCATATGACAATATATTTTAACAGACTAAGTTGGAGAAAAATAAATCCATCTGTGAGTTTCTCTTTTCCATTAAAGGAAATAAATGGTTTGGAAAGCTCAGCTCATTAACTGGAGAGTCTGAGCAAATGAGGACATAAAATAAATAAAATTTTAACCCCTTCAGGAAGGGCTCTCCATCCTCCTTTGTCACTCCTCCTGCTACCTGCTGAAGCAGATTCCACCCCCCAAGTGCTGCTGCAATTATGGGTGCGCACGTTCACGATGTGGCTCAGAGCGCGTGTCACGGCATTAACGGGTCAATGCCTGAAAAGCGAAGGGCAGTGGGAAGGCAGCAATTGCTTGAGGTATTCCAGAAGGAAAAGGAGATTCTAGGACTTAACATATATCCTGGAAACGGTTTCCATATCTGTGTTTGTTCCTTATTGTTCGGGAGAGAACCTGTCCTTCTCGAAGTCACCTCCAGTGTGGGAAAGTCTGGTTTTCGTCTGAAGATGCTGCCGCTCATGTTAGCACAGCTTCAGCCCCTCTATAGATTATCTCTGACCCTTTAGGTCCGACATCCAATTATCAGACAAGGAAGGGCATTCAACGAATATGCACTGAAAGTATCAAGGAGGAACAGGGCCCCGCACAGCCTTTCTTACACTACTCCACCCACGACACGTAAGCAGCTGTCTTAGATCTCCCCTCTTCTCTGACGGGTATTTTAGAGACAAAGCTAATGTTTCTCTGGAATGAAAACTTCAGAGAGTGAACAAAATAAACCTTTTTTCTTCACTTACCACAGTAAGGCTGTTTTGACGGGAAACCTTACTGATCTCCTAGTTCGGAAAGAAGGTACCTTTTAAAAAGTTGGGTATGAACCCATTGTTTTAGAAGGAATTTTATAATCCTACTGCTTTGTCTTGTGATTTAAAAAAAATGGTGCTTTTTTTTTAACTCAAAGAAAAAAGTCTCCAATAAATTGGAATTAAAAATGCAGCAGGATTTCTGAGGCCTTGTAGGCTGAGCGTCAGGATGACCATATCCCAATGATTTTTCTATGATCAGCTGGACTGCAGACTCTGACATTAATGAGAGCATTTATTTTATAGACCATATTCATCAGCTTGAGAATATGCAGCAGAATCCTGGCACCAAGCACCTACCTCCCTTCTAAGATAAATTTTACCTGTAAAATCAAGCTGTCACTACATTTGATTTTTAATAGCACTGATTCATATGTCAAAACTTAAAGCCAAGGTTTTTAATACACACTGAACGGTGGATTTTAACTCAAAATTCCCATTTTAATGCAAGAAAAGTTATCAGTGTTATAATAATGCTTTTGTGAGTTATTTCACACTGTCATGGGAATAATGCTATCAGATCATAATTAAATTATGTCATTCAACTCGCTGAGACAAGTAAATTATAGAATTATTATAATTATGGAATTATTATAGAGAAGACATCATATACGAAGGTTAAAAGGGATTCGTATTTTAAAAGGGTGGAAACAGAACTCGAGCTCTAAGTTTTTTTTTGCAAAAGTAAGTATTTAGTAAGTCTAGAATTGTCACGTTGGTACTTCAGTCCTAAAGACACGTGTAATCAAGTGAAGTTACTGCTATGGCCAAACTGTTGGTCAGCTAGGTCGCCCGGATGGAGGGACAAAGCCTGGATTTCCTGGGGTTGCCAGTCACCCTGGTGTAAATCCCCCAAGCAGGGCTGACTTCCCGTCTGCAACCGTTGAACAAGCTGGCGCGATTCCTGGCCAGTCCACTGCCCATTACTAAACCATACTAAATTTCTCTTCTCGTCTCTTGAATGTCAGGGGGTGACCCTTTGATACTAAGAAGTCTGGGAAGTGTCCCAGGGTTAAGAGATCTCCTACCACAGTAAGCCTGGGATGTTCCAAGCCGACTACACCAACCAGTGATCCTTTGGGTTCTGTTTTCTTAGCAGAACAGGTCGCTCCACACAGAGAAAAGCCCACCTTCCCTACACATCCCTGTGTTCCCAGAATCTCACACAGCCTGCCCCACCCCCGGTAAGACAATACGACTTCTGGGCAGGGAGTCTGGTCTGGTTTCCTCCCCGGAAGATGCGCTTCCTAACACAGGGGGCAACACATAGTAGGTGCTCAGTAAACACCTGTAGAGCAAATGACAGATGAAATACTAAGTAACCGCTAAGCGTGAGGGACAGCCACATCGGAAACCACTGTTGGCACGTTTCAGATAGAACCTCAAAAGTAAGTAAGAGATGTTTCATGAAGCCTGTGGTTTACTGAGACCCTTTGGGCAGAACGAAAGATTCCAGCATTGAGATACTGTGATTCCTCCTCTTTTCTTGTGAGTTTAAGGAAGGAGATTTTAAGAGGAACTATTCATTGTCAAAGGAGCAGATTTCATCCCAGGGCCAGCTGCCTATCAGAATGTGGGTCTTGTTTTTCTCACTCCTATTTTCTGCCTCTTCCTGTCCTTTTTCTCTGCACTCCTCCGGATCATGTGCTTCTCCAGCCCCTGATTCAATATGTTCCTTCCGGCTTCTCCAACTGGGGTGGAGTTGGGGAGGGGGCGAGGGGAGCTTGATGCAAATGCAGTTTTTGCAAGGTTTGGGATTGACTCTGGACTGACTTCTCTAAGAGCCAAGGATCACAGAACTTAGTCCCTCGATTTCCCCCACAGTCCATGTAAAAAGAAATGGGGGCTCTCATTCATTACATGACTCGGACCGCACTGCTGTCACGAATCTGAAAGAGAAATCTAAGCCTAGGGAGATTTGGGGTGGTGGATACACCAATGAGGCAGGGGAACAGAAGCCTCCCACACCTCGAATCCTAAGCCCTTCTTTTCATCATGTTCCTCTTCTAGACAGTATCACAAGTAAGCTGCTCGTATTTAAAGCACCGTCACTGAAGGGTAAAGCCACTGCGATTTTTGCAGCTAATCCAAGGGTTGTAATTTTCCACTTCAAACATAACAGAGAGGCTGTTCTTCCCAGGGGAGATCCGGTAAACTGGCTGGGTGAGTGGGGTAGGGATGGGTGGGTTGAACACCAGTATGAGAATCCTCCTGAGTTTGGGAATGAGCCATTGGGGGTAAGGTCACCAGGTATCTCGGGAATGTGCAACCTCGAGGAGCAGAATTCCAAAGCACAGTGGAGAAGAGGGGGTTCTGCTTAACCTACCCAGAGGGAATTCATCTACTCCAGCGTCTACATAGCCGCACCAATAGTTGCTGGGTTTCCATAGAAACCTAAGCCTCTGAGTATTATGACCGTTCTTGTAATTCCAAGTTTACATACATGAAAAAATAAATTCTGAAACCTCTCCCTATCCTTAGCATGATTGCTTCATTCCATTTGTTCCTTCATGCTCATTAGAAATAACAGCAGCTCTAAAAGTGGTCTCGGAAGACCCAACTTAGATGGGCACGAAGAACATCCGGTTTGGGAAACAGAATGACACGAAAGCATTTGAAATTTGGTTTAAAGACCTCAATCCAGCAGAGACTCACCATGCGTGACAAAGGACAAATCAAGGGGTCATGATCTGCCGTCTTTCAGGCTCAAGAGGGCAGGGGAAGCTGTAAGAAGCACAAGTCCCAGCCGTGCCCGGAGCCGAGGGCCTGTCTGGCTGGAGGGCAGAGGGAGCGGCGGGTGCCCGCAGGGGGACCTGGGCAGCTGCTGCAGCAGGAAGAGGGCTGCAGAGCCCTGCTGAGGGCTGGGGGCTGCCTCTGCCTGGAAGGAGGAACCCTTCCTCGGTGCATGCACAGGTCCTACCTGGACAACTATGGGACCGCAAAGAATAGGGAGCACAGGTGGAGGAGAAGGGACTCAAAGCCAAGCAGAGTCACACTTTGGGGCATCTCTTGCCTCGGCAGAGCAAAGCCCCCGGGCAATGTCATCTGCTCGCACAGCACGGTTGGCACAAAGCACTAGACACAAGGGTGCATCTTTTACTCACTGTTCTGCGGGTGCCAACGCACGGCATTTAGGTAGACGTTGCAGTAATGAAAGAGGAACTCGTGGTCCGAGCGTTGGCTTCTCCCTTGAAGCAGGGGCATCAGATCACGCCCATCGATGACCCTGTGGGATAAACCAGGGAGGTATCAGCGGCTGAACGTCCATGTCACTCTTGGGCAGAAATGCCCTGACTTCTGAGCTGTCCTAACCCAGAGCACAGCAGAGCTACACAGTTGCAGGAAGTAACCGAGGCAGAGAGCGCTTGCTGACCCCTGTCGGGTGGCATGTGTGTCTCGGTGAGGCCACTTCTGCCTCGTCTTATCCTTCAGACAGAACCATACTTGGGACCGCACACCTTCCATGACAATGGGGTGGAGAATCGGAGGCCAGACGGCGTGACTTATGCACGGGCACGTGGCCGGGAAGAGCCCGTATGTTGGACCCCCAGCCGACTGGGCCGTGCATGGGCTCAGCAGCTCTTTCCTGCTGCGTCTCCTAAACCCTATTTTCTGCCTATCGCTTCAGCAGTGGGAAAGCTTTGGTCTCCACAACATACAGGTCTACTGAAAATAAGAAAACCTGACAGTTTGGGTTAAAAAAATACATATACATAACATGAGAGCAACCTGGATTGGATAGACTTCCATAAAAATGAATTTCTCAATGAGACTGAATTCACTGATAATAATAACAATGACATTAAGTTACCCCTGGGGTGGGTTGTTTTCAAATACAAAAGTTTCTCCTCTCTGCTGGGGTATCTCACTATGCTGGGAACGTTCCAGACCATCAACAACAGATGATGTACAACTGGACACGAAGAAAAGAAGATTCTTTGGAGTTTAAAGACAGCGAAAAAGCCCAATGCTTTGTTTTGAGGTAAACATACATTAACAACCACTAGAGAAGGTGATGTCATTGATACCATGGGGGCCACTGCCATGGAAACAAAGGGTCTCTTTGAAAGAGACCGTTCACCTTGAGGACTTTCTTTCTTTGATGAAAAATACTGCATCTCTGTCACCCCCTATTATAAGGGGAAACTGGAAGTCTGGCTTGGGAATGCAATTTGGGTAAGGGTTCTTGAGAGGTCCTGCATCCCTCGAGCTTTGTCTCTGGTTTATTTTGGTGTCCCGGAAGACCCCGTGCTGTAATTACAGGCTCGGTGCCTAGCACTCCTGTGGCCTGCAGCCTGGTTCTTTATCACGCACTCCGCCGAAGTCTACGGGCTGAAAATATTCTACTATCATCCGTTAAAACTAAGAACAAAAGCCAGACCTGGCTCACTTCCCAAGCCTGCTTTTCCTGTTGGCCGTGAGAGCAAGGGGCACGGTGGGGAGACAGCTCTATGCAGACGCTGCGTGTTCTCTGAAATGCTATTTTTCTATCCTGACACGGCAGCTGCGCCTTGTTCCTTTCCAGTCCCTTTTGAGAAAGGCTCCGTCCTTAATAATATGTGACACTGAAGAGCGCAGGGGAGAGGGGAGCAGGTGTGTGGGTCGGTGGGCGTAGGACGCTGCCAGGGCAGAAGAGGGCATGGGATTGAGGGAAGGATGGAGTCCTGCGCCCTCCCACCTCGACCCCACGTGCAGAGACAAAGGCCTTTCCGTGGCCGCTTGGGGGAGAAGGAATCTCTGTTTCTCCGCCACCATTCACCTCTGTTTCTTGAAGCCATGAGCCCATGATGGCTTTTGGTCATAAGCTAACAAAAACTCAGTTCTTGGCTTCAGTACACAAGGCAGAACTGCTTCCTTAAGATGGGTAATTCACAACCAAACTGGGTCATGAGAATACAAACGGGGATTTAGTTTAAAAAATTACGACTCCCCCGTCTCACCAATTCTTCATTCTTAAAAGAAAAATCTTTTTTTTTTTTCTTTTTTCAAGGAGGGAAGGCAAGGCTCTTCTGCCAACTTCTTGTTCTTCAAATGCAGAGACCCATCTCCTTATTTTTTTTTTACATCTTACACCTAATGTGCTCTTCGTTAGAGCAGGCAATAAGTCAGGCTTCTATGAGAGCCACTATTTAAGAGAGCAGTAGAAATACGGCCTGTCGGAAGGAGCTTCATTTCTGCCACGAAAAATTGAAAATTATCCTAGTGAGCTAAACATTTAAATGGTGTCTAAGCTATCAAAACACTTGGGATTGTTTTCAACCCCATGTGCAAAGCCACCATTTGCCGTGGTGAGAACCTGGAGACAGCACATTTATTTCCCTTGGAGTTGCTGTCAAGGAAACGTTTCCATCATGTCACAATTTGCAGCGGGGGCAATGCACTCTCAAAGCCACACCAAGACTTGCTGCTTCCTATGGAAATCGTCCACTCGACCTTCTCTGCCAATGAATTTAAGTTTTCCTACCAAGTTTGTATTGACAGCCACTGCTACAAATTCAGATGAGTTCTTTCACAGGGTCTGCTCCATGCTGGGGAAAATGGGTTTGTTTGAGATTGTTTTTCATTTGGAAAATGGGATTATTCTCCATGAGTTCCTGACCCACAAGGAGAGTCATAATATTAACCATTGCTTTCCAAGGAGAGCTGTTTCTGAATTTCAGGTCAAATTAAATAGCATCGGGGCCACTCTCCTGTAATTGGAAAGAGCATGTTTGCAAATGTTCCCCAGGCTGCTGTAACCTTGCATCCCATGAATGGGTTGCTCTGTCTCTTAGCTCTGAGCCAGTGGACCACCTGCTTTTGCCTGGCCAAGTCTGGGAAGGATTTGGGGGTCCCAGGAGAAGGGAAAGATTTGGAGGGACACAGAGAGAAGGTCTGTGGTACTGACAAAGAGGTTAATTTGGGGGCATAATGATTGTAAGTGACCTGTGTCATATTCAAAATAAAGTGATTTTTTTTTTTCAACATAGAAAGTAATAGTATAGGAAGCAATTTTAGGAGCTAGTATGTATATATGTAATAAACTTAAGGGAATACCATGTAACCAGAGTTATTTTCATAATTAAAAATGTTTCCATTCACAAATATGAAATATTCTGCCCTGTGGAATATAATTCAAGATCAGTTTTAAGTGGCTGCATGTATATCAAGCAGTTCATGTTTTGTCCTGCGAACCACAAGTGAGCTAGAAATAGCTCCTGTTTTATTCCACTATCACCCTGCACTGAAGAGGTCTTCTGTACTTGACCAGCTAATACCCATCAGCAAAATCTACTGGGAGAACTAAGTCACTCCCCTTGTCTTCATGAGACAAAAGCAATATTGAACATTAAAGTCATGATTTCTTTTCCTAACTCGTAAAAAAAAAAAAAAACAAGCAATCAAGTTTAATTTTATTTTAATGACGGAAGAGGAGAACTAAGTATTTCACCTCTGAAATTTGATTCCCTATCCTTCCCATCCAGCAGAATGGTCTACCGCCAACATGTAGATGTTTTCCAAAGGTTTCACCAATTACTGCACATCTTTATTACCAACATTAAGAGGCATGGTCATAGACTACTGTGGTAATTTTCTGTCTGCTTGCAAAGATGAGACCGGCAGAGAGGTTTTCCATTTTAATGAATGACTGCATTTAGGCATTGTACTCTTTTTTGCTTAAGTCTCTGTTGCCTAGGTTTCATATCACGAGAAATGGTTGCCCGCCCCCCGCCCCATGTATTTCCAGAATCAGCTTATTTGGAGATGCAGGGGGAACTAGCTTTCTGAATATGCCTGGGGTGATGGAACTGCAAGTTCTTTACATAAACCATGCCACTGAATGCAAATGAATCACTCATGTAAGATGGGAAAATTCACCACAGAGAGGATTGTCAGAGAAGCACAACGTGGAGTGGAGCGATGGCTTCTTTTTCACCTAAGCAGAAAGCCTGCATTGATATCTCATCTCCCACCAAGCTCCCGGTTGGTCAGGAAAGGCCCTAAGTAGACACAAAAATGCTGCCAAAGAATTACAAGGTTGTCCTTGAAGACTTAGGGGTCTTCGGAAATGAAACACTTCTGTTCCTACAAAACATGCAGAAAGAAGTGAGGGCCCCTCGTGAAGTATTCCCCCGACAGCTTAGGTTCAACATGCTGAATGAGTTTTGATTCTCTGGAGAGGTGTAAATGCGATATTACTCAAGCAAGAAATGAGGAAAGGTCATTTCCAGAAATCATAGTGGGGAAAAAGTGGAGGCTATTTAAAGAGTAGAGATCTGTGTATCAAATTTACAGATGGATATACACAGGAGCACTGGGTCCAGATGCTTTTATTGAAAAGTCTTTATGAGGCTCTCCTTTCTACCACACGCCATCCATGAGCAAAGATAAGGGGCAGAGCAAGGGCTTCCCCACCTCAGACCTATTAGTGTACTGGGCTGACTCACTCGGTCTTGGGGGGCTCTCTTGTGCCCTACAACGCTGCAGGGTGCTAGGCAGCATCTCTGGCCTCTAGCCACCAGATGCCAGGAGCAGTTAGAGCCAGGACTATCAAAAATGTCCAGATATTGATGGATGGCCCCTGGGGGGAGGGGGAGAGGGTCATCCTGCTGACCATCCTTGCTTGACGCATTCAACGTTTCTAGGGAACATGTTTTCTGGACCTGGTTGGTGACATGATTTAAAAGAGATACGGTGTGATCATTATATCTCCACAAAGGAACTGGAAAGCAGATTTCTGCTTTCTTATCTGTGCTGGTTCTAGGAGGATAATAGTATTTTATAAGGCCTTGGGGCTGAACCCAGAGACCTTACCAGAAGGTTGGTTTCCGTAAACTAGAGTCCCTGAGAGCGATGAGAAGACCCTTCAGTATTGAGAAAGAATTCTGCTGATGACCATTGGCTCACATACAAGATATTGGGGTCTGCCTAAGAGGGAGGCTGCTTCCTTCCTCCAGGGGCACGTACCAGCAAACCAGAGGACCCTCCAGCAGCCCCAGACGGGGGTGGGTAGGACGTGCCAGTGGCAAGATTTCCCTCTGCGTTTCTACCTTTGTCTCTGAACTGTTTCGTTCCCCAACTGGATGGAAACCCACTTACAGCAGAATTGCATTCATCTGAATATCATGAGCCCTGACAGAAAAATGCCATTAATGAAATTACCTGGACACTCTGTGTGAGCTACTTAATGAAATATTAAGTTTTTTTCCAAGGGAAAGAGCCAGGGCCCAGGAGTAGATGTAACAAGGGAGTGAGATTTTTGGCTTCATATAAGAAGAGACTTTCTGTCGGGTACGGCTGCCAAGTGTCTGTCTGTCGCTAGGACAGAGCAAGAATGCGTTGAGTAGCGTAGATCTTAAAAGTCCCCTTCAACCCTCCGATGTTATGATTCTATGAGTCTGGATGAATATGAAATGTGGAAGCAGACAGAACACTCCCTAAGCATAAACAAAAATCACAGACGCACAGGCATTCCCTCTGCGACACCGCATGCTCTGCAGACCTGGAAGGTCGGGGCTGCTACTGAACCTGTTGCCCAGACAAGGAATCGTGGCCCAGTCGGTTAAACCCTTAACCAGCTGTGAAGCCAGGCATTACGGCTCAAGGCTGTCTGTTCTTACCCACAGAACCAGCTGCTGCCAAAGCAGGCATCCACGGGGGTCCCCGAGACCCTCTCAGGAGGTCTGCATGGCCAACACCATTTTCACAGTAACGCACACGGTTCCTGTCCTTTGCATAGCCATGCTTTCCGGAGAGGACAGGGGCCTTTCCCAGTGGCTACAGGGCAGGCGCTGGTCAGCGGACGGAACGCATGCTCGGGTGCCCAGTGTTTTACATCTTTCAGGGAAAAAGTGGAGGCTATTTAAAGAGTAGAGATCTGTGTATCAAATTTACAGATGGATATACACAGGAGCACTGGGTCCAGATGCTTTTATTGAAAAGTCTTTATGAGGCTCTCCTTTCTACCACACGCCATCCATGAGCAAAGATAAGGGGCAGAGCAAGGGCTTCCCCACCTCAGACCTATTAGTGTACTGGGCTGACTCACTCGGTCTTGGGGGGCTCTCTTGTGCCCTACAACGCTGCAGGGTGCTAGGCAGCATCTCTGGCCTCTAGCCACCAGATGCCAGGAGCAGTTAGAGCCAGGACTATCAAAAATGTCCAGATATTGATGGATGGCCCCTGGGGGGAGGGGGAGAGGGTCATCCTGCTGACCATCCTTGCTTGACGCATTCAACGTCTCTAGGGAACATGTTTTCTGGACCTGGTTGGTGACATGATTTAAAAGAGATACGGTGTGATCATTATATCTCCACAAAGGAACTGGAAAGCAGATTTCTGCTTTCTTATCTGTGCTGGTTCTAGGAGGATAATAGTATTTTATAAGGCCTTGGGGCTGAACCCAGAGACCTTACCAGAAGGTTGGTTTCCGTAAACTAGAGTCCCTGAGAGCGATGAGAAGACCCTTCAGTATTGAGAAAGAATTCTGCTGATGACCATTGGCTCACATACAAGATATTGGGGTCTGCCTAAGAGGGAGGCTGCTTCCTTCCTCCAGGGGCACGTACCAGCAAACCAGAGGACCCTCCAGCAGCCCCAGACGGGGGTGGGTAGGATGTGCCAGTGGCAAGATTTCCCTCTGCGTTTCTACCTTTGTCTCTGAACTGTTTCGTTCCCCAACTGGATGGAAACCCACTTACAGCAGAATTGCATTCATCTGAATATCATGAGCCCTGACAGAAAAATGCCATTAATGAAATTACCTGGACACTCTGTGTGAGCTACTTAATGAAATATTAAGTTTTTTTCCAAGGGAAAGAGCCAGGGCCCAGGAGTAGATGTAACAAGGGAGTGAGATTTTTGGCTTCATATAAGAAGAGACTTTCTGTCGGGTACGGCTGCCAAGTGTCTGTCTGTCGCTAGGACAGAGCAAGAATGCGTTGAGTAGCGTAGATCTTAAAAGTCCCCTTCAACCCTCCGATGTTATGATTCTATGAGTCTGGATGAATATGAAATGTGGAAGCAGACAGAACACTCCCTAAGCATAAACAAAAATCACAGACGCACAGGCATTCCCTCTGCGACACCGCATGCTCTGCAGACCTGGAAGGTCGGGGCTGCTACTGAACCTGTTGCCCAGACAAGGAATCGTGGCCCAGTCGGTTAAACCCTTAACCAGCTGTGAAGCCAGGCATTACGGCTCAAGGCTGTCTGTTCTTACCCACAGAACCAGCTGCTGCCAAAGCAGGCATCCACGGGGGTCCCCGAGACCCTCTCAGGAGGTCTGCATGGCCAACACCATTTTCACAGTAACGCACACGGTTCCTGTCCTTTGCATAGCCATGCTTTCCGGAGAGGACAGGGGCCTTTCCCAGTGGCTACAGGGCAGGCGCTGGTCAGCGGACGGAACGCATGCTCGGGTGCCCAGTGTTTTACATCTTTCTTCACACTTAACTGCTCCTAGGGTGAATGTCAATATATGCAACCCAATAAACGCCTCAGTCATGGAGAAGCACACACACAGGTCTTCAGACCATGAGGTGTGAGGATGGCTGAACTCTGTCATTCCGCCTTTCCCATTGCTGTGCATGTGTGTGTGTGCACACACATGTGTGTTTGGGGCAAGGGGTACCCAAAGCAGAAGGTGGAAAACAATAAGAAAAATAAGCAGCAAGCCAAGTTTGGAAGCCAGGGAGGTAAGCGAATGTGTCCATGGGCTCAGCCCCTCCTGAGGTGTTGTTCCATTTTCCCATTTCCCCGTTCATTCTTGCTGGCAGCTGATTTAAACGAGATTTGCAGCCCACCTTCACGGCATCGGCCTGGCCTGCCACCGAACTAATGCAAACAATTAATCAGTGCGTGTCAGTTAAATCTCCTCAGATTGGTAATAACATTCAAGAAGGAACGGTTGGCGATGTCACAGAAGTTGCGTTTAAATTTAAGAGAAAGAATTTAATTTGGAACTTGCAAAATGGAGAGCCACTGGGGATAGGGCCCTTTCCTGGGGAACCAGGTGCCTTGCTTTCTGCTGCCGTGAATCGTTGCTGCCCGCGGCTGAAAGGGAAGGTATGGGGCTCACCTGGGGTCGGGGCTGGGGGCGAGAGGCCTATGAGCAGCCCATGAAGGGCACAGAATGGGAGACAGGCTCTGCGGAAGGGCATCCATCCACGTGATGCCTCAGAGTTTACTTCCTGCTGGGATAGCGGGACTGACAGGGCGCTTTCACATCTGCAAGCCCACCAGGAAGTCCCATAACGGGACGTGGGTAACAAGTCCAGCCCGAGGTAGCACGCTGGACTGGTTTTGCAACACGGGCAAAGCCAGAGCATGCCTGCATAATGCGGATGAGCCCACAGCAAGCACCCCGGTGTCACGTACCTGTCCTCAGGTAGCGGCGATCCGGCAAGCTTGACCACCGTCGGAAACACATCCATGTTGCTCGTGGGTTCGTCGATCTCCAGCCCAGCCTGAAGCACTCCCGGCCATCGGAAGATGCCTGGAATCCGGATACCTCCTTCCCAGTTATTTGATTTTCCCCCTAAAATGCCAAAGGAGAGGCAACGGGGAGATGTATGTTTGCTCAATGCTCAGCTGGCCACTCCCTTCAGTGCATCTCGTTGCTCAGTGTGGGTGGCCAGTTGGGGAGAAGCAAGCTCGATTCCGTGAGAATGCAGGAGCAATTCAGTACAAAGGACGGTGAAAAGGGGACGTGGGACACGGTCTCTGCTACGCCTGACACAGACCCAGCACGGCGCTGTGGTCCTGGAGCCTTGAATCTCACAGCAATAGAGGACTCCAGGGAATGACCCTGGACTCGGGAAGTTCAAATGCCATCGCTACTTTTTACCAGGTATGGGAGGGCAACATAATGATGCCCAAAAGTTCCATGTGCAAATCCCCCCAGTCTGGGGATATGGTAGCATGTATGGAAAAGGGATTATCCCAGGTTAGCCGAGGAGGTCCAATGTCATCGCCAAGGTCCTAGTAAGGGTAAGAGGGGGACACGAGAATCGGAACCAGAGAAGCAGGACTTGTAGTGAAAGAGAGGAACTGTGAGATGCTAGGTAGCTGCTTAGCGGAGGGACAAAGGTGCCGTGAGCCCAGGATTGCAGGTGGCCTCCCAATACTGGAAAAGGACACAGGGTTTCCTGAAAACCCTCAGAAAGGAACACCTGGACTTTCGCCCAGATGGGCCCATTTTGCACATCTGAACTGGCTCCAGAACCATTGCATCATCAACTGCATTGTTTCAGGCAGCAAATGTGTAATCTGTTAGAGCAGCCGTTGCAAACAAAACACCAAGTCTGTGCCCCTTGGGGGACTGAATCTGCCATCCTGAGCCTCGTAGGACAACGTGTGAGGTGGTACTACAACATAGGATTATGAGCTCATGTGCAGAGCCTAGTGCCTGGAAGACAGGAAAAAAGAGCCAAAATGGCCATTTTTTCAACATCTGTCATTGCTCTTATTTGATCACCAGTATAGCTCTCGTTGGTTAGTTGGGGAAGCGAGCTTGGTACCTAGGAAGTGACTGAATATAACCAGATGGGGCAATAAGGGGGGGATTGGCTGGGGCTGCAGTGGTGACCTGACAAGTGGGTCAAAAGGTCCACGGGCACGTCACGGAAGATGCTCACCATAGCCTCCCACCGTGGGCCTTGAGGGCTGGAGACGCAGTGTGGCGGCACAGGGCTCAGAGAGGCACGGCCGCACCACACAGGCAGCACTGGGTGGCTGGAAAACCAGATGTGCCCATCCCCCAGGGTAATTCCCCCGTGGCTCTATAACAAGGTACACACACAGCTGCACACCACTGGAGTAATACGCTCAGGAGCCGAGGCTGGGAGGGACAGAGCTGAAGTTCAGCGACTAGAAAAGGCATTTCCAAACCAATGGCTGGTATGAAGAATTAAATGAAGGAAGCTGAGAACAGAACACTGGCTCATCACAGGGATATAATGCCCGGCCATAAACCCCACTTAAACGTAAAAGGTGAATTGCCCTAGATAGAGGTTTAAGGATCTTGAAGCGAATCCTCATTTCTTGATGCTGTTTCTCATGCGGGTAGACAGAACTGTGATGATTGTGGATGGGATTGTCACTGAGGACCACAGACCGAAATCCTTTTATGCCACACCCTAGATTTGGGAAGTTTACAGAGTTCTCCATAGTTTCCTCAAGCGGTCAATAGCCAGGCGAGCTGTGGGAGGCCCTCAATGTGGGAATGACCGTCTGGTTATCTTTGCGGCAGATGAAGCTCTCGGCATGTGCGCCTGCTTCTCCTTCCAGGAGACCAAGCTCACAGAGTGTCCACCCGTCTCTTCTCCTAGCAGACTGAGCTTGCAGCATTTTCTCTTTGAATTTCAACACAACAAAACAGCTACAAACTATGAAAGAGCCAGTCTAATGAACTGGCTTCTGTACTGTATGCATTGCCCCATGGGTTAAAAAGAAACAGAATAAATCCACGGGAGGGACCCCAAAATACTAAGAGAATGGGAAGCACCCTTTGACAGTTTATCTTCCGGATGCAATGTGGCATGGCGGGTTTTTTGAAACAGAAAAAGGGCATTTGTGGAGAATCCATAGCTCAGTTCCTTGTCAGGCAGCCAGGTTAATTTCTAGACAGATAGACTCTGAGGATGCAGAAAGGTAAGACTGGAGGACACTGAGGGAAGAGCAAATAGGAATGCTCCTTACTATTCTTGCAGTGCTTCTGTCAATCTAAACTGATTCCAAAGTAAAAGCTTTACTCAACATACAGACAACGACCTAGACCCAGATACAGGTAAGGATGGAGATGTGGATGGAGATGCACACCAAGGTATCAAAGTGCACATTCCTGTAGCTACACATGTACATGCGCCTGCCTTAACTAAGAACCTGCCTTCCCAAGGTCGGAGTAGGGAGAACGTCATGAATGACCTCACAGGCTTGTATGAGGACTGCTTCTAACGGCTCAGTTCCATCGACCGTGGCCCAGGTGTCACAGACCGTGGCATGCATGCATTTTGTATCTCACACCCTTGCACGCACACCATGGGGACACATGTACCTCTCTGCACTTCACAGACGCAACATCTGAGCTGCGCAGGCAATGCGCTGAAGGTTGCTCACCCGGCCAGCTGCAAAGTGCGATATGAACCCCGCCTCACCCGACACCAGAGCCTGAGGATCGAAGCAACTCCTCAAAACCACTTCATCTCTGTGGCAACACAATCGGAGCCGGCTTGTCTGGACGCTGCCTGATTAAGATCACAGGTCGGAGGATTTGGAAACTAAGAAAGACAAATCCAACCCTTACGTGTGAGAAGGACCGTGGCACTGAACGCCTTCCTCATCCTCCCGGGAGTTAACAAGTGCATCGTCTTTCAGGTAGAAGGCAATGTCCAGGGACGGTTTACAGGGCCACCCGGTGAAGGGGAGGGGCACCCCGGTTGCTAGTCCGGGAGAGCGCGGGACAGAGGGTGGCTGTTAAGAACAATACCTTCCCACATCTTGGCTACCGTGAAAAGCGCCACTATGATGTGGAGGTGCAGGTATCTTGTCGAGATTATGATTTTCATTTCCTTTAGGTAAGTACACAAAACTGGGATTGCCTGATCTCATGGTTGTTTTCTTTTTAATCTCTTGAGGAACCTCCAGCCTGTTTCCCACAGTGGCCACAACAATTTACATTCCCAGCAACCCAGTGCAGGAGGGGTTCCCTTTCTCCGCATCCTCGCCAGCACTTCCTACCTCTCGTCACAATAGCCAAGACAGAGAAACAACCTGAAGGTCCATCAGCGGGTGAGTGGGTAAAGAAAATGTGGCATATAATAATATATATACAAACATATATATTATCAATATATACATGTTATCATATAGTTATTATAGAATACATATTACATGTATGTACATGTATATGTACATGTTATATATGTATTATTCAGACTTAAAAAAGAAGGAAATCCTGCCCTTTGCAACAACATGGGTGGCCCTGGAGGACATTAGGACAAGTGAAATAAGCCAGGCAGGAAGACAAGTTTGTGTGTTGTCATTATATGTGGAATATAAAATATGCAACTCAGAGAAGAAGAAAACAGAAAGGTGGAGTCAGGGGTTGGGGCTGGGGGAAGAGGGCAGTTGCGGTCCAAGGGTACAAAGTTTCAGTCATGTGAGAAGAGTCAGTGTGGGGCTCGACTGTGCAGCAGGGTGAGTATTGCCAGCAATAGTGGAGCATACATCTGAGGTGGCCAAGGGGGTGCATCGGAAGCGCTCTCACCACAAAAGCATAGGACAGGGTAACTAGGTGAGCTGATTGGTGTGTTAATTAGCTTCATCGTGGTTATTATTTCACAGTGGATACATGTATCCCCACATCAACTTGTATAGCTTATATATATATATACATACAATTATTATTAGTCAATCATACATCAAGAAAGTTGAAAACAATGTAGCAATGGAAATACTTGTTTTTAGTAAATATGATTGCCATTTTCACCATAAGAAAACCAAATAGTCTTTCCATCTCTATTACCATTTATATAAATGCCTATCCACGTGTACACAGCATGTTGTGAAAATGAACTGGATCGTCCTGTGGTGTACAACCACCCACAGGTCAGAGAGTGTCACAGAAATTCACAGAGGCAGCCAAGGTGTGTGCACACGTCATGATCGAAAGTCAGGGATCTGTTCTGCTCTAGGGACTTTGCTGGGATCCTAGACCTCCAGGTGATGGGAGAAAAGTCAATGGAAGCTCAGTGCATCACCACTTTGCAAACAAAACTCCCGGAGAGACCCTGGTAACGTCGTGCCTTGCCAGAGACTCAAGATCCTCAATAAAGCACCAAGCCACAGTGTCCCTGGTGGACACAGTTCCACGGGGGTGCGGAGCAGGGCTGTCCCTCTGCCCAGGTGAGATGCTCAGAGCACCGGGAGGAGGGCGCAGGGGAGCCTGCTGTGCCGCAGCCCCCACAGACCACGTACCGAACCCCAGCAGATCAGCTCTGGCGGCAGCCTGTGGGTTCACCCCCAGCTGGTTTTCTGAAGACAAACTCTCCTGGGGATATGCTCAACCTGGAAAATCTGAACCCCCAGGAGTATCATCCTAAGACTCACGGTTCTGAATTTATATTCAGAAACTCAGAAAATTGATCAACAAACAAAATCTCACGCAGTTTCCTAAAGCTGTAAGAGCAGTGTTTTCACAGAAGTGGCAAAACATATACATATATATATATACACATATATGTATATATTTAAAACTTTTAACAGATCATAAACACATCCGTGCACACTCTGCCTCTGGGAAAAACGTTTGGGGTCATGTAATCACACATGGCCAGCCATGTGTTGACAAGCAAATACCATTGCTTGTCAGATGGCGTAGCTCTAGCCTTCCTCTCCCTGCCATATTCCATCGAGAAGGACATGCACAAAATGTGTCCATCAGGATTAAAGAGTCAGCACGCAGCTGTCTCAGGAACTGCTGTGATTGCCACAGAATGAAGGTCACAGGGACGCAACCACTGAACACCAAGCGTGGCT